CAGGGTGGGCGGAGGGAGCGGTTATGGCCCCTCTCAGTCCCGTTCCCAGAGGCTCTGCTTCTCAGAACCCCCGGAACCGCTGCAAACCTCGGAGGGAAAGCTGCCTTCCAACTGATGCCAGACACTCCCGCTTCTCCCGTTTGGGTCCGAGTCCCCAGCGATTCGCCCGTATCTGGAGCTCAGAGTCTGAGACTCCCCCCTGACCGAAAACGACAACCGCGCTCTCAGCCACCAGCCCGCTTTGCGCGCGCACCTCCGCACCTGAGTTTTTTCCACACTGCGCCTCCTCTGAGCCTCGGTGTGCTGTTATTTTTCCTTCTAGTTGAAGAGTCTCTCCTCAGCCAGCCTTCCTGTGGTTCTGGGTGATGTCCGTTCCGTCTTTTAGTTGTATTTTTGAAGTGGTTGTTTGCGGCAGCAGTCTCCGGTGTTTACCTATGCCGCCATCTTGGTCTCTCCTTCTACTCTTATATCTTAATTTTGGAAAGTGCCTTCAAATATTATTGTATTTGATCTATTCAACAACTTTGAGAACAAGGTAGATGTTATTATCCACCTTTCATGGCTTAAAAAATACAAATGGAAGTCTAGACGTTGCTGAAGGGCTTGCATGCATTGCACGGCTAGTCAGAGCGGAACAGAACCGACTCCACGTCTCCAAGTCCCTTGCCAGGCGCCTGTCCTCTTCCTCCACCTGCCTGAAGCCGGCAAGCCCAGCGCACAGGGAAAGAAGGGCTCTGCTGCTTTTCCTTTATGAAATGTTGGGGGCTTGTTCTTAAAGCAGGAAGGAGGGAGAGGGAGCCTTGTATTTTCTCACTTACCTAGTTTTCTCGGGGTTCTATAGGCAGCCTACTTGCACCCCAGCATCTGTTAGTGAGAGCACTCCCTGCACAGCAGTTTATCAGAGCCTGATAGAGAAAATAGGGGGTGAGAAAAGGCGCAGGACTTCACCGGCTCCAAATCACATAGACTTGGTTCGCTTATTTGTTTCCTGAAGTTGCCCTCCTGGGTGACACCTGCCCTGCTCGGGGGGAGGGTGTCCAGCCAGCCAAGGTCCAGGCCTAATCCCCCAGCCCCCCAGAGGGTTAAATGTAAGGCAGGTGCTCACGTTGTCTGCTCAGCATCCCTGGAACCATTCTTGTGTTTCAGAATGGCTACACCCCTTTGCACATCGCTGCCAAGCAGAACCAGATGGAGGTGGCCCGCAATCTGCTGCAGTACGGGGCGTCCCCGAACGCAGAGTCGGTGCAGGGCGTGACACCCCTTCACCTGGCTGCCCAGGATGGTCATGCAGAGATGGTGGCCCTGCTACTCTCCAGACAAGCCAACGGCAACCTGGGGAACAAGGTAAACAGGGTGCCTTCCAGCTGGCCCTGGGGTCTCAGTCATGGTTTAGTGTTAGCTAGCTGGACATTATGTCTGAATATCGGGCACCCCCTGGGGCCCAGGTTCTGAATTAGGTGGTGTGTATGTGTGCGTGTGTATGTGTGCGCGCGTGCGCAGTCCTTACAACAGCCCTTTGTAGCTTTTATCTCAGTTTTATAAGTGGGAAAAAAAAACACACGGATTCAGAGAGGTTGCATATTCCCAAGGTTGCATGACCCAGAGCCAACACCTTTGCTGACTCCTTTTAAATAGATGGGTTCAAGAATCAGCAAAAAGGTCAGTAATAAAATCCACAATACACATTCCCAAACATAGGCCAGTATTGCATTCAGGAATGTATTTAGTAATTTGGTACTAACTATTCTTTTTCAGTAGGGAGGATATGCTTTTAAATGCCAATCTATGCATGAAAATAGGAGTTCTCAATCCAGGGATTACTAGCATATGAGTCTGAAACCTTTCAAATGTGTACACAACATTTTGGGAGGATGGACCTGTGAGCATTTTTCTGGATAAAGTCTTCATGGTTTTCCTTGGCCTCTCCAAGGGATGCATGACCCGAGAAAGACTAAGAGTCACTTCTTTTTTAAAACAGTTTCATTGAACTCTAATTCACGTCCTGTAAAATTCACCCTTTTGAATTGTACTCTTCAGTGGCTTTTGGTATAGTTGTAGAATTGGGCAGCCATCACCACTATCTAATTTAAGAACATTGTTATCACCCCAAAAGGAAACCTCATACCCATTAGCTGTCACTTCCCATGTCTACCAAACCCCCCAGTCCCTGGCACATCTGTCACTATGAACTTGCCTATTTGGGACCTTTCATACAATACGCAGAGCTACTTCTTTAGATGATAAATGAACATAATACAGCTTCAGAAAAGCATGCGTTTCCTGACATTTTTGGGGAGTGTGCACAAATCAAACGAGATCTCTGGTGCATGACTCTCCTCATGAGAAAGCTCTGATGAGAAATCCAAGAATACGGTGTTTTTAGTCCCAGCAAGAGAGCCTCTATCCTTTCCACAGTGCAACACTGGCTGTGATCTAATCACACGCTACATGTAAATGGCACATCGTGCTTTTCAGTGTGTTTTCATCTTTCTCAAGTGATCTCTACTTTGCTCTTGATATAGATCAGTGCTAATCCATATCTTCTAGATAAGGAAACGAAAGGGTCTGAAGTTCATCTTGAATCTTGGGAATAGGGAATGTTACAATTGGAAAGTACATAAAGCTCATCTGGTTCAGAGGTCAGCAAACTGGGACCTATTGGCCCAATCCGGCCCACCACTTGTTTGTGCTAATAAAGTTTTATTGGAACACACATGCCCCATTTGTTTATGTGTCGGCCATCCCGGCTTTCTCACTGTAACTGGCAGGGTTGGGTAGCTGCAAGAGAGATACAAGCCGAAAATATTGACGATCTGGCCCTTAACAGAAAGTGTTGCTGACCTCTGACTGACTTTAACCACCTCATGTTTTAGAGAAGGATACGAAGGCTCAGAGCTGGAGGAGCTTTGCTGGTCGGTGGCCGCAGAGCAGGTTCAGCTCCCAGGCCTCCGCTCTTCCACTGTGGCCTGGAACTCTTTACTGGCTACAAGATGATGCAATTCTTTTTCTTTCCAGAGCGGACTCACCCCCCTCCACCTGGTGGCACAAGAAGGCCACGTTTCAGTGGCAGACATGCTGATCAAACACGGTGTCATGGTGGACGCCCCCACCCGGGTAAGGCTCCCCTCCCCGCCCTGCGTGCGCCCATCGCCCTGCCCAGTGCCTGCCTCCCTCACGCTTCAGAACTGACTCTTACTCGGAGCTTAGAAACGCCAAGGACGCAGCGACATATTCTTCTCTGCCCCTTCCTAGGGGTGGCAGTGGAGTTTGAAGACACCAATCCTCATTGCCTCACTTTCCAGTTGGGAATTTTGAAATTTGCTAGACCTTTGAGCCTCTATAGTGAGAAACTGAGAGGAATGTTTAATCATGATTCCAAGACCCGTCTTATTGGTACATGAGCCCGGTGTCAAAACGCCAGGCTTCCCAGGATTCACTAGACAATTCAGCCTTTTATTCCAGCATTCAGTCGAATGCAGCTCAGCTTTTATGGACCTTTCTGTGTGCAAAATGCTCTGTGAGGCGACTGAGGATACCCGTGCACAGCCCGGGCGGTGAATCTGCCTCGAGGCATCTGTGGCTTAGTGTGGGCGTGACTGTCAGAGGCCAGAGGGACAGCCTAGCGTGATTTCCCGAGAAGAGAGGCCCCAGAGAGCCACTCGAAGCACCAAGGAGGAGAGAGTTTCCGTTTGGTAGAAGAAGGAGGCTTCGCTGAAGAAGTGGCATTCGATTCCTTTTTGTCACAAAGCAGCTGTGTTAAAGAAGGGACAGTGTGACACCCCTCCAACCCCACCCCACCCCACCCCCGAAGTTCCACAGGAACACCAGTCAACAACATGACGTGAGGTCTTCCCTGAGAAAAATCTAGAAACTGTATTTTATCCCCAGTTGTTTGCAGCCTCAACAGGAATCTGCTTGAAAACCAAGGATGTTCTGGATTTCTGAGGCTTCTTTTGTGGGCCCAGTTTAGTCTTTTGGGGCCCTGGCCTGAGAGACCCTATTCTGTGGGTTAGGACCTGTTAGGTCCCTAAGCCATATCATTACTTGGGGTTCAGCGTAGGGTCTGTGTCGACACGGTGTCTGAAATCTGGCCCCGGCCCTCCAGGGACACTTAGACCACAGGGCTCAGAGGGTCTTGGCTTGTCGGACTTTGGAGGGAGCACCAAATAATTCAGCAGAACAGAGTCCTTGAAAATAAGCTCCTTTGTAGCCAAAATGCAAATGAATAAATACCCAAAGCCCACTCATTTCAAACAGTGACCAGTTCCTATAAAATTCATTACACTGCAGCTCAGCGACGTGGACAGCCTTTTGGGGGAATTTGCAATGGGATTTCCCACCTTTCTAGTGCGAATATATCTGCTCTTATCCAAGTCACAGTGATCTCCATGCCACCAACTGTACTCACCTGAGCCCCCTTCCCAGCAAAGGGCCTGATGGCTGACCCCCTCAGCAGAACCTCTCTTGGCTTCTACAACACGGGTCTTCTGCTTTCCTCCTACCTCCTGGCAGTCCCTCCCTCACAGTCCTCTTCTCTGGTCTCCCTCTGTGTTGCCTCAGCACATGGGCCCCCTGTTTCTCTCTCTGCGTGTATCCTAGGTGACCTCGCTCCTCTCTAAGGCTTTAACTCCTCATAGGTGTCTCCTCACCTAGAACTCTTCAGCGGGCCCCAGCAGTGCTCGGGCTGCCTGCTCCAGTCTCCCCTCGGCTCCCTCCTGGCATCTCAGACTTCACTTGTCTGACACTGAGCCCTGTTCCCTCCCAGGCCAACGGTACCTGACTGGCCATGGCCATACAGCTTACACCTCATTGCAGCTGTCAGCCTTCCAAAGGGTTTCCCCATCCATATTTCCTCTCTCTCTCTCTCCCCTCACCCAAAGATATGTTTTCATTGTGGGGTGTTTTTTTTTAATAGAGAGAGAGGAGAGAGAGAGAGAGAGAGAGAGAGAGAGAGAGAGAAAGCATCGATGTGAGAAACATTGATTGGTTGCCTTCTTGTATACGTCCCGACCAGGGATTGGACACAACATTTTGGTTTACGGGATGACACTCCACCCAACAGAGCCACCGGCCAGGGCCATGCTCTCTTTTCATCAGCTCTGTTGTGAGGATTTTATTAATGCACAGCTTATAGAGGCTCTTGGTACGCCCAGAAGCCCTGCTGGTCACCCCTTCTCATCTCTTGCTTTTCAGATGGGTTACACCCCCCTCCACGTGGCCAGTCATTATGGAAACATCAAGATGGTGAAGTTCCTGCTACAGCACCAGGCAGACGTCAATGCCAAGACCAAGGTAGAGGGATGCCTGAGACCTGCCTCCTATATTGACCCTTCCTAAGTGCCAAATTAGTATGTAGCCAGAGTGACTCTGGGCTCCCTTGGGGCTCTGCCACAATTCTGAGCTGTGACCCTGGAGGAGGAAATGGGGAAAATGCATGTTCATGCTGCACGTGGAAGACGGATAGACTCTGTAGTGTGTGGGCAGGTCTTTCTCTCGGAGCTCGCTAATCCTGCCAAAATGTCTACCTCGCCTTACAGCTAGGATACAGCCCCTTGCACCAGGCGGCCCAACAGGGACACACAGACATCGTGACACTGCTTCTCAAAAATGGTGCTTCCCCAAACGAGGTCAGCTCGGTGAGTGCCCACCCGGTTCCTGATTTCGGACAAACTGCGCTCCTGGGCAGCGCTGCGAGCCTTAACCACAGGGTCTCGGTCTGTCCTTACTGCGGGTCTGGGGCCTGGACGGGCTGCTGTACCATAAAGTCGTAGCTGCCTGGGTCCCCCCAGGCCAGGGTGTGCTGTGGTTAGATTCTCCTTCTGGTGAACTGAGGTTATCTTTTCAAGCACCATTTACCCTCCCCCCCTTTAGTTTTGCTTAAATGCAGTTGTTGAAACGCTCTCTAAAATATGATTCTCCTTCTGGTGAACTGAGGTTATCTTTTCAAGCGCCATTTACTCTCCCCCCTTTAGTTTTGCTTAAATGCAGTTGTTGAAACTCTCTAAAATACGTGAAGCTGCTTTCAGTGAGGTACAGTGAACAACACCAAACGCCCTGCGTGGCTCGTGACGTGGCAGGGCCTCAGGGCCGTCCTTAGCAATGTCGGTGATCGTTGTTGAGTGTGACCTTCCTCGCCTGACAGTGCACGGGTTGTGCTAGGTCATCTCTAAGGCTGCTTACAGCTCAGAGAGTGTGCGGACTTTTGATCATGGATGTGGTTGCTGAGAGCCTAACTGTGGAACGGGCTGAATCTGTGGGGGCCCAGGGCACATCCTAGAACTAGAGAACTTAAAAGGAAAAAAAAAGCCTCAATATCAGTTTACTCTCGCTTTGATCTTTCTCTTAAAATGAGTGTAGAGAATGCATCCCTCCCCTACTTCTGGTAATTTGTGGTTTCTGATTGGCCTGAGGGAGTTCGTTGAAGTATATGAATGACTTTAACCATCTTATTGCTCAGTTACTGACACCCAAAGAACCGGTGTTGAGAGCAGTGAACAGCGTTGCCCTGTACCCTCATCTTCCTGGTGCCTTCCTGTCTCATTTCTCCCCAGTTGGCTCCCTCATGGAAGTTTTTGACTTGTCCTGGCAAAATTTCCCTGCTCGTGTGTCAAGGTTCTTGCACTCATCACTATAGAGTTAAAGTATCCCTGCCCTCCTCTCTCACATACCTGGCTAACATCTGGCACATGTCTGGACTCACAAGTGTGCAGGGGTCCGAGGTGCAATCTGTCCACCTCCAACCCTCATAGCGGTTAGAATGTGAGCTGTCCTCCCAGACGCCATTCCCTTGTCTGATCGCGCCCTCTCTCTGCTGTTTTCCCCAGAATGGAACCACGCCTCTGGCAATAGCCAAGCGCTTGGGCTACATCTCTGTAACAGACGTGCTCAAGGTTGTCACAGATGAACCCAGTGTCGTGGTATGTCTGCTTCTTTGCATCCTCCACCCAGAACACACAGCCTGACTGGGTGCCCCTATGGGTTACTCTCAGAGCTGGCCCTCTTCTGGTAGAAAGAACCAAGCCTAAAGGTGGGAGGGTCTTCTCCGACCGATGGAGTTGCACTGCCACCTAGTGGTAGGAGGAATTGGGGGCTGACCTAAAGGGGCAGCAGTAAGACGGGCTTCGGGCAGAGACTAGGCCATGGGAAGCGGGTGTGTCATGTTTATCTCCCCTGTGATTCCTGTCAGACTTTGGCTTCCAGGCTGACAGCCTCTTAGCTCTGATTTTTTTTTTCATTTGGGACAAAGCTCCTTTCCCTCCTCCTTCCTGTCTCCATGGTCATAACCAGGTAACTGCTGTCTCAGTGTTCTATTTGGGTTGAATTCTCTGCTTTTTCTCATTTTAGTTAGTCAGTGACAAGCACCGGATGAGTTTCCCTGAGACAGTAGATGAGATCCTGGATGTTTCTGAAGATGAAGGTAAAGTCTGGGAATTGACATAAGTCGGGGTACAGTCGGGGGACACGTGGGCTCTGAGCACTCCCCGAGTGCTTCCTGGCCCACTCAGGGGTCCCTATAGCACAGCACAGAGCCTCGGGCCTGAGGGAATTGACATAAGTCGGGGTACAGTCGGGGGACACATGGGCTCTGAGCACTCCCGAGTGCTTCCTGGCCCATTCAGGGGTCCCTATAGCACAGCACAGAGCCTTGGGCCTGAACTGAAACCAGAGAGAAACTGCTTTTCAAAGATGTTCTCTGCCCTCAGAAATACTTCATTAATGTAATTTTTTAGAAGAAAAATCTACATCTTGGAGATTAAAATACAACATCCCATGACGTTTCATAAATATGTGTTTGCATATATTATGCATAGACTATGATTCTACTCAGATCAATTATCAGAGCTGTAAAGAACTGCCATCAAGTTCTGCCTGGTGCTTTCCTTGAGCAAACAACAAGCTGTTTATTTTAAAATCTGTATGAATCTGTTTAATAAGCTGCCCTTCTGACCTCCTCAGGGGTCAGAAAGTTTGGGGGTATATCCATTTTCAACTTCTGTGAACCAGGTGCTTGTAGGAAAAAAACCCTCGGATGTCAGTAGTTGGACTGGACTGGGTTATCTCTCTGGCCCTTGAATGAATAACTTTGCAACTAGATGATTAAAGCTGTGCTTGTGTCCCCTTTGGTGATATGCCTCTCGCTTTAACTGACTGCAATCCTGTCCTTTCTTAAACTTGGCTCTTCTTTGCTTTCCAGGAACTGCTCATATATCTATAATGGGTATGAAATACTTTCTGTTCCCTGTGGTCCTTTCTCACAGTGCATTTCACCCCAAGCAATCCAAGCTCTCACTAATCCATTCCTGCTTTCCACCCTCCTCTGGCGGCTAACACTCCGGAGCCGGGAGCTTTGACTAAAACAGGAAATGTACACCCATAAGATCCATGCCCTGGCGGGGAGCTCCCGCCTGTCCATCTCTGTGTCTGTGCCCATGCCACTGTGTTTGTGATCATAACTGCATGAGCTGTTGTTGTATTTCATTCTGTCAGCTCCAGATCACAGAGTCAGGACACTCACTGCTAAGGGACAGCAGATGACACTGCAGAGTTGAGGGCTCCGACTCCAGTGCAAGCAAGGAAAGAGAAGCAGAGAGGCAGTCTGGGTTGTAGGCAGAGTGTGAACCTGTGGTGACGGGTTTAGGAAGTAGTGAGGCTCCACCTGCCATGGTTACAAGAACCCCTCAGCCCTTCAGAACGAACGGGTGCAGTTCCGTGGTAGCTTGTGCTTCTGTGGTGTGTGGAGTGGAAAAGAACAGAAGCAGCCCTTTCTCTGGTGTCACTGCACACTCTACAAGGGCTCTTTGGAAATGGAATTTGCCAAGCCAAAAAAAAAAAAAAAGTTCTTTCTGGTTGTATTTTTTTTTCTTCTACAAAGGCTGGTACAGACTAAGATGCTAGGAGCTGCTGCCCTGCTCTGGGTACCAGGGCTGGAGGAACAGGTCTGGTCAAAGACGTTGCTAATGGTCCCCTTCGAGCATCTGAGCCTTCCTCCACTCCTCGGCACTGAGGACCAGGCAGAGCACTTGTTTAAAAGGAAGAGGAAGTCTCCATTCCGTCACTCACTTAAACTTGTGTGGTTTCAGGAGAAGAACTCGTCGGCTCCAGGGCTGAGAGGCAGGACTCCAGGGATGTAGATGAAGAGAAAGAGCTGCTGGATTTTGTGCCGAAGCTGGATCAAGTGTAAGAAGTGCCCACCCCGTGGATGGCCGAGGTCCTGCCCTGGATCTCAGAGCAGAGAAAAGTCACTGGAAGGCCAGCCCCTGGGTGTGCCCCTGACAGGGATATAGTTGCTGATCGGTTGGACTGTGGGTCCAGCACCTTAGGATAAATTAACTCTGTAGCTTAAGCATCAAGTGGGGACATGGAGGCCTCCCTTACAGCATATTGGCCGGGAGTGTCTTCCCTCCTCTTCCGGTACCTCTGCCTCCCAACTTTCTTCCTCCCTCATTCACAGTCTCATATGCACACCCTTCTCCCTCTCACACACTCTCAGTTTCTCACCCAGGAAAATCCATTGAGAAAATTCACATTAGAAACTGGTGCCTGAGCTCTAACACTGACCACATCCTTCCACACATTAGGGAAAACCCACAGAGAGGCTGTCTCTGCCCGGAACACATTTCTCACTCCTCCCTGTGACGCTGGGAGTTACTCTGCTGTGGGCACATTAGCATACGGGGATTTTCTACAAATAAATCTAGAAGAGACCACTGTGTGGAAACACTGAGCCCTCAGCATTTTCTGGACAGACAGACGTGTGCCAGCATAGTCCCATGGCTTATACAAAGCAGGACAGTGGGACAAGCAGGAAGTGAAACAACAAGGATATGTAATCAATTCGTATTTTTTGAACATCACTTAGAAAGAAGTACAAGACTTGGCCCCTGGCCATAAAGAAACGACAGATTGATTTGGTAGGATCGACACACAACCAGAGGCCATATAGCAATGCAGGATAAGGTGTGGAGGCCAGAGCGAGGGTTCTGTCAACAAGGGCTCTGAGGCTAAGAACTGGGCTGATGAGAGTGGGGAGGATCCCTGGAGGAGGTGGGCCCTTCAGTGAGGCCGTGAGGGACAGTGGGGCTCCGGGGAATGGCTTTGAGGCTAAGGGAGGAAGCTGGTCAGTGGTGGAGGCTGAGTTGTATTGCATGTGCAAATGGAGTGGGGGGCGGGTCCAGGCTGTGGTGAGGGAGCAGACTGGGTAGTTATTATGGGGTACAGAGGTGTTTCACTTAGGCCTCCCATGGAAGAAGGGGGACCACTTGGAAGGATCGTCTCTGATTTTCCAATTGTCTTGGTGCACAGGGTGGAATCTCCAGCCATCCCGAGGATTCCCTGTGTCACACCTGAGACAGTGGTGATCAGATCTGAAGAGCCAGAGCAGGTAAGAAGCATCCTTTCTCTTGTTTTCATTTTGTGGCGAGCAGAGACCCCCGGGACAATGATTGCTTCCAGATGACCTGGGGTACGAGAGGAGCTAACAGTTGAAACACGTGTAGCATTTACTGAGCCCTCAGATCCGAGATTCTACTGCTCCTCGTAGCCCCTGGGGTGTCAGTGTCCTCATTATCCCAGATGTGACTGACATGGCGTCTCGCAGAGCCCACAGGCGTGGGAAACACCATTACGCTGGTTCAGTCATGAGCAAGGCTGAGAACTGACGCCAGAAGTTCAGCTCAAAGGCCCATGTTCTCACGGCCCTGACCCCGGTGCACGCATGCGCTCTCTGCAGCCATGGGGGCAGCAGGTCACGGTGCTGGAGAGCTAGCCCGAGGCTGCACCTGCCCCGTCACAGAACCCTGCGCTCCTTTTCTTTCACATCAGTGAAAAGGGAGCAGTTTCTGCCTCGCCTTCCTTAAGGGATTACTGGGAGCTTAAAATACCAATAGGAATAGAAGAGGGTGTCAGAAAGATTGTTCCCACTGGGATATTACTCATTGCAGTACCCTACGGTGTGGCTCCCCTGGATGGCATCTGAATTTGTCTTCAACAAGGGTCGGAGGGTTTAAAACAATTTCATTTCCCCTTGGTTACTTTTATGCCGTTGGCACTCTTTCCCGCCCCCCCCCCCCCCCCAAAAAGGGGGTG